TTTTGTGGAAAAAATTATAATTGAATCTCAACTGATATGTTTTTGTTCATGTCAACTGAAATAATGCTTCCATGGTGGTTTTTTTAATTCATTAGGAATGACATAACTATATAAAGAAACCACTTAAAGCTGAGTATTTTAAAGTTTTGTAATGTTTTTAAAATTTGGACTGAAAGTGTTAATCATCAATCATAAAGCTAATGGAATTGGTCCCCAGAGGGCCAGTTTTGTATAGTAGGTATCTGAAATATTACTCCAGGCTATTTGTAATTTCTGCATGTTTACCTATATCTACCAGATGTATCATTACAAAACAAAGACTCAAAACTTAGCTTAAGGACAATATACAACCACTCATAACAAAGTCCTTTTAAGAATTTTTTTAATGTACATTTCATTCTCAGGTCAAACCAAAATATACTTGCATTTTCTGGTAGTGCTGGCAAAAAATACATATTAGTAGGTAAACTTATAATTTAATTCCTTTTTAATATTGAATATATTGAGGTGATATCCTGACTTTTCCTGTGTTTGTAAACCTTGTTTGAAAGGCTATCAAATCTAGGGCAGGTAGGTAAATCTACCAATATTTTGTTTGCATTATATATGCAATAATATTATGCAGTTGATCCTGCACCCAGCTTTTTTTTTTTAATTCTTTCTGAATTGCAACAAATGCTTTCAGGATAGCTACTAAAATCTAGGGTAGGAAGCAAGCTACAAGAACTACAGGTGTAAAACTTTAACCAATAGGCCAGCAGGTCAGTTATTCAGAGCTTTAACCTTTGATTAAATGGACAATATATACTTAGAGATGGTAAACAGTCGGTCAAAACAGCTGGTCAGTCTGAAGTGACCACCCATCAAACATCAACAACTATGTGTCACTGTACTGACCAACACCTTTGTGTCCAGTCTGCTGTCCACAAGGAAGGACCAGAGCTGTGGTATTTGACAGGTACTTGGTATAAATACTCGGCACACAACACACCCAGGAGTCGGGTGTAAACGGTCCTGACACAATTCATATCAAAACGTCCGAAAAGTCTGTTTGGAAATCCAGCAAACTTTCATTCACTAAAGGCGTGAGTCAGTCACAATGGGCTTCTCATGGACACAAAAACTGGTATACCACACAAATTGTACAATTTGAATACAATACAGGCCAACGTTAGCAAATACATAATGTATATCAATAACAACTTATACTGCAGGTAACTTACTTGGAAACTTATATTCTTACACAAGACTTGTGTACTTTAAACACACAAACTCATAGAAATATATGTGTAACCTCTGTCGCAACGCTGTACTTTACTATTGAGCTTTATTGTTTATATGGAATGGTGCATTGTATCTAGAAAGTAATAAGGGGAGATAACTGATTATTTATCTTAATAATACATATTGAGACTGTAATTGAAGATTGTAAAAATTATAAGAACTATGTTGATAAAGACCACACCAGAAACTTTTAGAGAATTTGAATGACGTACAACACAAAAATATGACAAACATGTTGAAAACAAAACTTACGAATATCCACAAGTGAAAATTGTATCTATATACAGATGAAAATATCACAACGGCAGAAACATTCCAGAAATCAGATTTGCCAAGGAAAACAAGTAATTTGTTTCTTTCACGGAGGGAATGCTGAATGACTCATACCGATAATGACCTCACACCTTACAGCTGCTTAAACGACAAATGGTGGATGCAGACACCTGTTTTTCGTAGCTCTTCTGTGTGAAAAACATGAAACTCCATACCAATCATCACCCTTAAAATATTAGTTTTGACACCTGTTGATCAAGTCCCATAGTTTATTATCTCATCAAGAGAAACTCAGGTAAGTCTGGTAGATATCTTACCTGGTCAGTATAGGTAAAACCAGGTAAACTTGGTCCAGGGTCATTAGCCCTTCCCTTATATAACACGAGTGTGATGAGTCCCGCCCACCTCAGCACTCACGGGGCCGACTCATCTTTTATTCATGACCTCAGTTTACGCTGCATTGGTTCTTTTTTCATTCGTGACTAAAGTTTCAATATCAATTTTACCAATTAGGATCAAATCAGGCTGCAAAGTGACGGGTTCATCTGGCCAGAAATATCATTTCTAAAAGTTTTCATTAATAAGAAATAATGTTGATGCACTTATGGCAAAATAATAAAGCAAGGAGAATTCTCAACATATTTACAAAAGGTTTCCGAAAGGGGAGGTAAATTTCCCAGCTGGCTCAGTGATTGTAAGATTTTCCGCATGATTAGATTCCTGTCAGGTGATTTGTCATCATTTAAGCGAAACGATTTTCGGATCAAATCAAATATTTATCCTGGTGAGTTCCCAAACTGAGAAAGACAGAAACGCTTGATTTTGATGTTGAATTCTGGATATTGGATTTTCGATCTACAGGTGAACACTGTTAAGGTAGATCTCAAGTGAGTAAGTTCACAGCAGCCAAAACCGTTTGATCTCTCCTCAATAAGTCCTGGCCTTCAAAACATTTGATTCAGAGCCAAAATAGTACTAAAGGTATATTAGACTCACAGACAATGGAGCTTTAAACAGAGAATTCCCTTAACTCAATTACTACACTGCATTTTCTACTCAGCTACAAATATAATTGGTTTTGTATTCTTATGATTTAATAAACAGCCTGAGAAGGCCTGATCACAATTTAAGCCTCCAGTCTCTTTCAATAGATCACTAAATTTCAACAAAATTTATAGAAATTCATGTAAGAAATTTTAGAAATAGTAAAAATGCAGATTCAGGTTTAAATAATTTTAGATATACAAATAACACTAGTGTCCGTTCAATTAATGCAAAATTAAAAGTTACACAAAAATCAATGAAAAATACTACAAAAAACAACAACAGACATTTTCTATGTGAAGCAAAGGCAAAGGCTAACCACAAAAATGAAATTAAATGTTAAGTAAAACCTTCCTCAATGTAGTGGAAAATGTATGTCACTGTGACCTATCTTTGATATATATATCAGTGTAGTACTACAACACAAATTAACATGTATCATTTGATAACTGTTGAGATTTTAGCATTAAAAGTAGTGGAGCTATAAACACGAAGTCTAATCAATATGTTTGGTAACAGAAGAATGGACAGGCCGATGGAAAATGTATGCATTCTCTACTTTGTTGCAAGGGCATACAAATTACAAAGATTTCCAGTGCTAAAGGGAAATGTTTGCCATGCGCTCACTAGTGTATTAATTATTAAATTCAATAAGGGATTGATAAGTAAATTTTAATTCCCATGATCCTTTATAGGGTATATATTGGCAAGCCAATGACCACGAGTGACCGGTGAATGTCAAGTTAATGCGCAACATCCCAACTCAGACTGCCCCAATCCCCAACATCTTAGGATCATATAATACATCTCCTTAATATTGTAATCTGGCACGACAGATTTATACAACAAGCCCGCAAACTTAATTCTTCAATAGATTTAATTCTGGTCTTAATTTGAAATGTACATTGACACATTAATCTGTTTATGCCAACAGTGTGTAATCCCTGACCAAGAATTGGAAGAACACCAAAATTAAAATCTTAATCACCGTTCTCAGTGTCAACCAAAAAAACAATGGATATGATCCGACAGGAAATTACAAAACAAAGGGGAGATAATCCTGAGGTAACCTAATACACAGATAATCAGCCAACCAATGAAAACTTAAGACACATTATACCCCATGAACCTGATCTCACCTCGCTCATCTGTAGAGCGTCACAGAAAATTAGAGTGTCAATTTCTACTCCACGATGTACACATTTTTCAATTATACGTAATTATTTGTCTAAGTCAGCTCGTGAAATGTACACAGAATGTGAAAAATGGGACAAGACAAATTCTACTCGGCCAATTAGGTGTTTATAACAAATTACGCTGTTCTCGTGTGTCACCCACCGTCCTGTATCCTATAGATGTTCGCTCATACGTATATATTTCAACGTTTATAATTGAAAAAATCGTCTGGAAAAATTAAGATAGCGACTTGTTAACCAACGGATCAAACGAACACAGTCTCCAAAAGACAACTATGATAATGGTTTTCTATGATTACAAAAGCATAAAAATTGTAAACCTATATGTATCTTTTACATTTCACATAAAATAACCATCATATCAAAAACACTCTGAATTGTCAGTTTGGTTGACCCTAGCTTGTTTAAAGTTCAAGTTTTGTCCGTTAGAAAACACAAACTTGTGACCTTTCTGTCGGAATGTCTAAGAAACGTTTTTGAAATGAAGATTATCTTGTACATGTACTAGTTTACATTTTTAAACAATTGATGCTTAGAATTAAGTGACATATTTCCATTTTAACTTTATCCAAAAGGAGGTGTATTACATGTACAATGGATTATATATTGTGCATCAAAGATTTAATTTACTTAGAGTGCAGAACACACAATATGTCACAATACAACACAAACACATTACAAAAACTGTACCCAATAATGATAACTTGACTTGAGAAAAACAGCCAACATGTCGGATTTCAGTTTCAATTTCTCTTCTTTATCAACATTTAAAATAAGTTTTTACAGGTCTTAACTCTACATGGTTAATGAAGTTTTGTTGAATTAAAACATTTCCCAATTAATTTTTGATAAAAACACACACAAGAAATGGAAAACAAAGTATGTTCCTGACATCAAAATATAGATTCAAGAACAAGAATTGAGCATTACTTGTGGAGCATGAGGTTTTGGGTTGAAAAATATTTTTCAAATGACTTATTATCTTCATTAATTTAATTCTCTAACTTGCCAATTGCAGTCCCACATTAAACAGATTTTAATAATAGTGATAACATTTTTTTTTATATTATATTTATACTTGCACTTATTATTGTTTCCTTCATACAGCTTCAAAAGGTATTTTAAAATTTATAAAAAAAAAAGAAAAGTTTGTCAGGCTTCTGTGAAATTATTAAATATAAAGAATATAAAAATAAGACATACCTGAATTTCTTGCCGTTATCCACGTAAATGTTAAACACACCTCCAGCGCGAGGAGAATGACTACATACACACACAGCTGTGGTTCCGACCATCTACCTGTAATCAGAGATCACATTTCAGGTATACTTGACAGCTAAGCCTACACAGGTAAGAATCTCTACACATACTGAGTGTTGTATTGGTCAGTGAGCACGTATAATACCCGGTGTGTGCTGTCCATACTGCTCTAGGGAAAAGGATGACCAACAGGGCTGGCCGTTGTGTAATGCGGACTGATTGTTTTCCATATAACCAAAATGGAATCACAATGTTTACAGTGTCTATTCCATTATGGCAATGATTGGCATGCTCACGCTCTACATCAATATAATTTGGTCGACAAAGACTCGCTGACATGCAGGGGGAAAATCCAGCCGGGTGCTAAATAAATCTTCTAAAGATATTATCATTGTTTACTTAGGGTTCAACAAACGTCTAGGAATTCCCTCAAAACAACAATACAGTCATCATTGGATCTTAGAGTGATAAATATAAACAGTAATTAGACAAGCAAAACTGTCAAATGAAAACTCCAGACAGTGCCGTGCACTCGTAACAATATTTGTACAAAGTCAAAATAACTTAAATAAATAGTTCTTACATTTCAATATTTAGTCCCAAATTTCCCATACAGATCAGCAAATAACTTCAGAATACTTTTGTTTCCTAGCAACAATTAGGGAAAGAACTGTAAGTCTACTACCTGTGTAGCTTACCTGTGTGACAATCCAGGAAACCGACCAAAATTACCTGCTGATTACGACTATTGTGGTCGTACAGGTAACCCTATTGTTAGCTACAGGTAACACTATTGATCTTGGAAAAGTATCCAAGACAGCGCTTACAAAGTTTGACTTCTGACACAGTGTCGTCTATATCCCACCAATGAACACTAATTTGTGTATCATTGATCGGGGACGATTAGTTAATCCGTCCAACAGCCTCGGCGACGTAACTCCACTGGGTGATCAAGCCCTAGTAATCCCAGGTGATAATCATGGTTGATCCAAGCCAGTGACAAGGCAAATATCATCCTACACCAATGAAATGAATATCATCCCTAGAAACGGGGGGGNCCCCTGGTTTAATAGGTTTAAAGCTTAAACTGATTTCGTCACTTTATCATCTCCGCTATTATGGGGAATAACGAAGACAGATAGGAAAAAAGGCAGTTTTATGTCAATTTTTTTGTTTGATAGTGAATGATCATTACAGGTGAGGATTGTAATGTATACAAAAATTATCCAGCCACATCTAAAAAATTACTCTACATTTATTCTTTGTACAATTACCCCTCCAGGGTATTTATATTCATACACCTGAAAGTATTATAATACCCTTTTTATTTTTGTATTTCTTTTGTTTGAAACATTCTTATTTTTACTTACCACATTGTTGAAAAAACTCTATAATAAAAGTTGTAGAAACTATAGTTTCATTAGAAAGGATGAAATAGACAATTTAAGAAATAATTTTATTTCAAAAATAAAGTTTCATATTTAAAATAAAGATGAAAATCACATCACCCCCCCCCCCCCCCCCCCCCCCCCCCCNGCTTTAAGAATAAACAACTCATAAATTTGTTTCCCTCCAAATAATACTATTCAATATTGGTCCTGTAAGAATAACACATATATTGTAATAAAATATGTCACGATTTTATAATCAAAGATTTTCACTCACGAGGAAAGAAGTACAAATGTATGACCAAATCTTACTTCATTTTGGAATTTTACAAAAATTCCATTCCACCATATTTGACATAACATTTAAAGTGTCCATGTTAATTTCACTGTGATTTAACAATCAAGACAAAGAGATGATAATCACAAATGCTCTGAACTTTTATAAAAACATTTAAACAAAGACAAAGTAAACATTCCCACTGCCTTTATCTATTAACCCTATTCCCTTTAAACAACTGGTGCCGACGTCTGCTCACTGGACGTGGGTTGTGTTCTCCCGGACATGCCTTGCCTACTGACTGTCCAGTTGTTATTGTCCAGATATTATCTAACTAGGTATATATACAATATTTTCTTTCAATTTACCAAAGGTTCGCCTGATTGCTCGGGAACAGTTGCCCCGGGGCCCCTCAGGTACACGGGAGATGGAATCCGATAGCTAGGCTCGGACGACTCTTGATTAGACATCACAGCCCTACCACAACCGAATTCCTCTAGCTTTTGTTTATTCATCTTGACCTGGTCCTACTACATTCCGGGCAAAATTTTACAATTCAGACAAATCTTTGTATACATTTTGTGGAACAGGTGTATTGCGATCGGAGCAGAGTCATTTGTCTGACCCAGACATAGAAGCGGTCAGTTTGTAATTGCCCTTGTGAGTAGGAAGCGGTCAGTTCGCCATTACCTGTATATGTAAGCGCTAATGCATATTTCTGAGATGGAAATTGATTTCCAGAGTTTAATGGGTCCGTACAAGATGGCTAAAATGTTTGCGGAGGATGACAGAATTGGGAATGTGTATTTAATTATTCGTGATCAGACAATGAGTAATTTCCCTATCCCCAAGCTAAGTGTGAATCAACCATGTCCGTGTATGAAGTACCCAACCTTTTAACATGTCCATACCAGAAATGTCCTGAATAAATAAAATTTGGTAACCTCAAATCAATGATCGACACACCTTATTGGTACAACTGTTGTATCGGTCTTTAACAGAATTATATCTTCGGTAAAGAAGACCTAAATTCCCCCTCACAAACCTCAAACACCTGCAATGGGACCGTCATCTGGACCACGTTAACTGGACAAAAATACTGTGTTCAATGCAATGTATATAAAATACATAAGCTTTGTTCCCTTTAGAATCATCAGGTTTTAATCTATTCTCATTAGTTTTTGAAAAGAATTAATTGGAAATCATCCTTTCCTCTTGCTTCTTTTTAACAGTTCATACCTGCAGTAATTGGGAATCATTCAAAATTTCCTGTTCTCTCATTGGCTGTATATTCTAATCTGATTGATTAAAATGATTGGCAGTGTTTAAACAGCATCATGATCAGTGATAATGAAATACAAATTAAAATTAACCACATAACGAAGTTCGTTAGTTGATCAAACAGGTAAATTGACCTCAAATTGTGTAACTGACAATTTCCAGCCAATATTGATTGGTATGGTACGTGTTACGATTAAACTTAGTTTGTGTCTGTATCTCATCGAAAGTCGGAATGTAATTACAGGTACACAGAAAATTCCACTTGTGTCGTAACTCAAAGCTCAAGTGTTTGAATTTTCTCATTACTAAAATAACAAGGCAAAAATTTCGAAATTGATCCATTCTTTTTTTCTTTGAAAATTTAAAAGACTGCTTCCTTTCACCTCCCCACTTGATCACAAAACAGATCATCTAGAATAGAACGGGAGATAGCAGAAAATCTCTTCAGCAAAATCACAGAATGTGTCCACCTCATTTAACTGTTTATAACAGGACAAGATACAACGTTGTACACATACCACCCACATGTATCAAGGCGAAGACCTCTAAATCAAGGTCACTACACTCATTGCCCTCGCCGATAAACAAGCCAAAGCTTACAAGAGTTTACAGGACCATTGGATTTGCTTCATCACCTGCAAAAATTACCTTTGTTATAATTCAATTATACACCTGTGTTGGACGTGACAGATTTTCAGCTTACTGGAGGAGAAAGTTGGTTCTAGCCTTAGACAATGGGATATGGTTTCACAAACTCGCACGCCATAAAGAAACCTTATTGAGATCGCAGCACCGGGTCGTGACTCTGGTGCAGAAACGAGAAACATGACCCTCCCTGTAATCATGGTCAACTCGGATATTTAGACCACAAAGTTTCTTTCATCAGATCAGTAAACAGGTACTGGAGAGCAAAAACGCAAACGAGTTTTGTCTTCGTTTCGAAAAAGTTACCACTTAAGTACATCTTGTATGTGTCTTATCCTGTTACTCTACGTGCTAATCTGTTAAACTAATTAACCATGCACGTCCCCGGCAACAACGATGTCCTTAACGATATACATCCAAGCCACTTAAATGAAGAAATCATAGCCATGTCTAGCCGAAAAAAATAATAAATTTAAATGTCAAGAAATACAATATAATTCATTCTCATAAATTTCACATCAGTTTTCAATCAATTTCGTGGGTATCATGTGTGGTCCGTTCGAATAGTTATCAACGATTGGGTGTCGTCTGCTCATATCCTTCGATATTAAACACTGGAAACACTTGACTTAACACTCGTTTATCATAATTTTGTAAGAATTGTCAGCAGGTTTAATCGGCCAGTTAGAAGACATTATTATTTTCACATTATTTATCACTTCCTCTAGATTAACATCAAAATGAAAATTTTAGACTTCTTTCCATTTAATTTTCGGTGTTATTTTCAGTGTTCTGTGACAGTTGCATCCATGAACATCAAAAGCCATAAACTAAATTGAAAAAAATACATATATCATATCTCAAAAATGAGATGTTCATTTTGAACTGACATTACAACAGTAACATCTTGTGATTACATTTTTTTCTTCATAAAATGTTCCTAGCTGCAAGTGCAACTATAGAAATGTTTACATCTTAATGTTCAAGATAATTTGTTTCCGAATGCATGATAGCGAAACTATACATTACAGAATTGTATTTCTTTAAAAGGAACAGATTGTAGACAAGAAATTTCAATCATTTTCATCAAAGGGAAAATTAACAAAAAAATTGATATGAACCTGTTACCTATTCTTTTCAACTCTCAACAAAAGAATTTCGAGAGAGAGAGCTAGCACACAAAGAAGTATGGGTATATATGTGTGATTTCTTTCTTTGTTCGTTATACACTGGTGTTTACGACCGCTCATCTGTTCACATACGATATCTAACATCTATAATATAAATCGTGAATTGCTGTATAAATTTAAGTTACAGTACAAATAAAGTACACAAAGACCACACAATGATTCTTGCAATAGCATTATACAGGTGGAATTAATTTGATTCATTTGTCCAATTGGTTTCTAAACAATTTTCGACAAATAAATTCAATGTGAAAATCTCGC